GTCCTGGCTGCACAATGCCAGGCAAACGTATGGAGCTTGCAAACATGAAATTCAATCCACGTGACCCACTTGCAGCAGCCACAGTTACGCCCCTGAAAGACAGGAGTCTAACTCCATCGGAGCATCGGCGGAGGGGAGTTGGTTGCAGGCGATTGGCGAGTCAATGGACACTGCCAATGAAAAGCATGAAAAGCCACAGCATCAGAAGCCAACGACAGACAAGCCTGCATTGAAGGTTACGATTCCTTGCCCTCCGGGACGGCAAACACTCACTACTGAGAGGTTCAACAAGTTTTTTGGTTTGGATTCGAGCGCAAAGTCAGCAAAGTCTCCGAGCAACATTGCACATGTTGCGTCCCCACAGAAACACGATTTGCCACAGCTGCTGCCTGACAAGGTTCCAAACATTGAGCAGGATCAGAAGGAACATGATGCAGGCGACTCCTCAGGTGCAAAGATGAGTGGTGAAGGTGAAGAAGTTGGGATTGCCTCTGCCTCAAACCACAGTCCCCAGGGTACGGGTACTGATGTTGCTGGCAATGTTGCCTCCTCCACTGAGGCTACTACTGAGGAAGCAATCTCTAGAGAGGGACACATCCAGGAACAGGAACAGGCACACACAGGAGGTGGCAGTGATGAGGACCTTGGTCAGTCCAATAATTTGGAAACCGCATTGGATACCATGACCATGACCGTGAACATGAATTCAGAAGCCACTTCTGAGCAGAAATCAGATGGGCCAGATGGGCCAGATGGGGATGGAACTACCACTTCCACTGGCAGCAATGTCTGTGTTGAAGCTGACACTTCTTCTCTACCTGTGCCTGTGCCTGGACCTAAGCCTGCGGCACCTGAGCCTGTGCCGGGCCCTTCTTTTTGCCCGAACCCTGCACCTGCAACTGCACCAGAGACTGTCCCCGAGATGCAGGCACAGGCAGATTCGGATTCTCCAAAGACCAGTCTTGGAAGTTGCCAGATTCAATCACTGACCGGGTCAGAGATGTTGTCAAGGGCAAAGAAGAGGGCAAACAAGCGCTTGACTAACAATCTGTTGGAAGGATTGTGCTTCCACAGCGATGCTCTGCACTTGATTCAGTCTGATCCAGACTATTTTGGCAAAGATGCTATCGAAGTGATTCTAGCGGCTTGCCAGGAGGACACTATCAGCACTTCATTCAGCGGAATTGAAGCACCACACACTGCCTCCTGTGCTAACCGCGTTGCCCTGGCTGAGTTCTTGGACATTGACCAAAAGCTGGTGCCAATGCCACGTCTCCTGCATATGATCGAGTGGGATGTTCAGAACCGCGCCGAGCTCATGATCATTGCACGCCAAACAGGAAGCTGCTTATTTGGAGATATCGCAAGCTTCTTCCGAAAGGAACTGCAGGAAACCATTCAAATGATCAAGGACACATGTTCAATCAATCTTGTTGTTGGACATTGGACAATCTGAAATTCTGGCATTCAGTCACTGAATTGTTGGAATGTTGAATGACTTAAAAACTGACCTGCCACACACATTCTGTTTTGTACTAACCGGATTGCAGACCTGAGAGTGGACTCACCAAAAGAACACAGAATGCTCAGAAAAATAATCACAAAGTCCTTTGTCAGGACAATCCCGCCATGGTCGTTGACATCTTGGCACCAGTGATCGCGGGAGGAAATGCCATGGTCAACCATTCGTGGTGCTACTACCACCAGAAGCAACGCTGTATCAAAACAGCAGTTCGCCATACAGCAGGGACTTCTTGTGTGCCCTTCAGCAGAAGGGGTGTCAACTTAGGCCTAAAAGATATAGCCACCCTCTATAGTCTGGCCTGGATTGGTCTACGCTTGCTCTTGCAAGAGCCTGACGTGACACAAGAGAGACCGGGCTTCAGATTGTTTTTGTTTGTGTTTTTTTTAAATGTATGTATGTTGTTTTGTTGCTGGTGTGTCTGTCTCTGTTTCTGTTAAACTTACGACTTACTATCCTCGGCCCGGCTGACAAATTCTTTGAGGAATGTTGCGAAGGCAGATGTTTCCTTATTTGACCGGTTCCTCTCTGGGATCTACTGGTTTGAAGTGGTTGAAATTGAAGCCAGCCATCTGGGATGGGCTTGCGCCCGGCGCAGGCAATTCGTGCGCATGAGGCACAAAACAAAAGCAACTTGCTGTGAAATGGACCCGACATTAATTTTTGCGCTTTGAGTTCTATTACTAGAAGTCTTGGGAGTTTGGGGATTCTCAATTCTCAGACTTGAGAGCCACAACTAGTACTTAGTACAGGCATTCCATAATATTGACATGTTTAATGTAATGCATATGAGCAATGCATATGGTTTTTGTAGACCGGCTGAATGCAAACTTTTGTGGGTGTTGGATCACTGCACTGACTGATCAAAACAATAAGTTTTGGGTATCAGTCTTGAGTTCAACAGAACACGCTCCATTGCAAGCCAGGTACTTTCAGAGATATCTCCTTTGTCTCGGTTCAGTCAGCGCTTTCTACGCGGCTGCAATTGGACATGGCGAGAGTTCTTCTTTGCCCATCAGAAGCAATATCAGAAAGAACTGGTCATTTCAGAGGAACTGGAAAAGGAGCTGAAGTGGGCTCAACAACGTCCTGGTTCACAGGCATTCGGGCAGGCGGCGGTTCATCTGGACGATCCCATGTGTTTCCGGAAGACCTTGACTGAATCAGAGGATTTCTTCCAGACTCAGCTTGTCAGCTGAACCAAAATCCCGATACGAGCTTTGAGACACACAGCGGAGGGCAAGTCCTGGCTACATTGATCCGCAATTCTCAGCTTGTGTACTGGAATGCAGGCAACCCAGAGCGATGGCTCACTGGTACAGAGCTTCTATGTGTTCAGGGTTTTCCGGTGCACCCTGAATTGCGAAAGGATTGCTCCATCAAGTTGCTAGGCAAATGGAATCAGGATTGAGCAGAATAATTTTGAATAACCAAGTTGAAACACAACACTCATGAGAAAGCCAGCCAGCTGGCTGACACATTGAGTCAATTGAGTAATAACTAAACCAAAAGCTCCCGAGTTATTCATTTATTCATGCAGTGCAGGTAGTCTCCACTCTTGCGTCCAATGTGCAGTGTGCAGTGATGCTGAGGTTCTGTTCCTTTCATGAGCCAAGGGATGAAAGGACTACAAGAACATTGGCCCTCCAATGCGGCAATAGCATGAATGCCCTTTGCATGGCTATGATTGATCTCCATAGCCTGTGGTCGTGGAAAAGATTGCAAACACCGGATTTGTTGAGGAACATTCATTTGGTCCGGAGATTTCTCAGCAAGCAACTTGATGAGCACTGTCGGAAGAGATGCCTGCCTACGCAGGAAGGGACCGCCTACGCCGAGGCATCATCATCATCGTCATCCCCATTCCAAGTTCAGGGAACACCACTACCAGCAATGTTTGCCGCCGCTCCAGCACCTCCAGTGAAGCGTCTCAAGGGCAAAAGTGATGGCGACCTTGTAAACATGAGCTTTTCTCTTTTGAAGCAAATTCGAAAGAGATAATTCAGATTGATATGAACAGTGGATCAGGCTGGCAGCATCCATCCAGTGAGCCAAGTGCACAGCTAACATGTTTAACAAATGACCAACTTGTCAAACAATAGCCTAACAGCCCAACAGCCTAACCTAACAACTACCAATTGGTTGTTAGTTGTTAGTTGTTCTGCTTTATGTGTTGCTGTTGCTGTCAGGCCAGGTTATGTTTGAAGCAGCGGGCTGTCAGGAATGTCCGCAATGTGCCTGTTGGCCTGTTGGATATTGTTTTGATCCTCTGTCTCTGTCGCTGGGTGCATACCATATCCTCACACACTTCAAGTTCCTGTCTTGTGCTGGCATGCTGGAGCAAAAGTTCCATCGGTCCATCAAATACACGTTTTAAGTTGCAAAGGAGCAGCATTGCAACGTTCGCAGCCTCCCTGGTGATATGATGAAGGAGACAGTCCGGCGATAGTGATGAAGTAATATTGCAGCAAAAAGATAACTTTAAAGCCTTGAGCTATTTCGGTGTTTCTCATTTTGTCAATCTGTGTCTGTATTTTGTGTCACGTGTGTGTGTTTATTGTGTTAGTTGTGTTGTTTGGCTTGGGGAGGCTGCTGCAATCCATGCTGAATTCAAGTAAGCGCAAAGTACAGTGGCGACTTGCGTCAGATTAACCGTCTGACCCGTAGTCGTCAGAGGCGTGAACTAGACTGTTGACTATTGGGGCAAAGGGGAGAAACAAGAGGTGGGAGGGAGTCAGTCGGGTCAGTCAAGTTGTCGGCTTGTTTGTCTGCCTAGGAAGTTCTGAAGTCCTGTAAATGAGTGCTGAAGGACTGAACGACTGAACATGGTCTAATGCGGCTAATGTGGTAGGCTGGTCCAGGTTGGTGCATGGCCTTGTGACTATCCTGACTGTGACAATTCTGACAAATTGACACTGGGCACTTGACAACTTGACAACTTCCAGACAGACTGAGCAGCATCGAGCATCGACGGTTTTGACTGTTTTTGTTGCTAACCTCATGATTCATGAATTCATCATTCTATATTGGCTCTATCTTGAGTCATGAGTCATGAGTAATGTGGACATCCGGCACAGGTGAAGTGAATCTCCAAGTGACGACACAACTAAGCTTGGACCTCAGAGGAGGTCAGAACTTCAGAACGGCGGCCACGCAGTCTTTGCAGTCTTTGTCTTTGCAGGAATTGTCTAATGTTAATGTTCAGTCATTGTTAGTGTTTGTGGTTAGTGGTTAGAAGCCTAGAAGGAATACGATTTGATTTGCCTCTTTACTCATCATGGCTCACATCTTCTTCACTCACTTCACCCATGTTGAATGTAGAACCCGTGTTGCCCTATTGCTCAAATGCTTTGTTTATACTTTGAGGCTGCATTGCAACTGTATTGCATCTGTACTGTACACCGTACGCGTACACCACCGCGGAGAGAGATCTCCAGATCCACACGCCATGGTGGAACCTAGTACAACTGCTGTGCCAATGGATTCCAGGACATCCAAGTCTAAGGAACAAGAGAGGCACGGTGCCAAAGGCTTGCTAGATGACCGGACGCCAGCACAGCTGTTGATCCAGGGCATAGACGTGTCCGATGGGAGCAAGTACACTTGCAAAGACCTTTTCGGTGATCTTACCGGCGCTTCTCTCATGGATGCAATTTGGGAAAAGTTTGGGGTGGGGGAGCAAGATGTGGAGTGGTTCTACAAAACGGACGGAGGTGAGCAAGCTCGAACCATTATGAGATCCCCACTATCACGGCAGATACAAGAAAGCACGTGTTCCGAATACATGCAAAGGCTATACCGTGAAGGATTAAGCCAACTCGCATCAGGTTGCTTGGTGTTCAATTCAAAAACATATAACATTGTTGTATGTTGTTATGTTTCTCACTGTTTCACAACAGGCAAGCCACTGCAATAAATTGAACATACAAACCAATTATATAAACAAACAGCAGCAGCAACTGGCTACCAGGCAACCAGTTAGCCAGGAAACGCGTGTGTGTGTGTGTGCGCGTGTGTGTGTGTGTGTGTTTGTTTGCTGAATGTAGCGGGTCTGTTGGTTTGCAAGACATGGTCAGACTGATCTATTTCGCAGTGCGAATGCTGAGGAGACGCCGTTTTTCGCTTTCGTGACAGCAGTCACAGCCCACCGTATGAAGCTGGCTCCTTCAATCACCGCGCTGAAAGCTTCTACAGGTGCTACAGCGAAGCTCCTGATCATGACATGGTCCAGAAGGTGTTGAAGAAGGGTCTCACAAAAGTGAAGTTCATGTATCTTGACATTGAACTTCAACTCAACTGTAACTTCAACCCATTCAATATTCATATGTTCATATATGTTGGTCTATAGTCTATAGTTTTGTAGTTGGTGGTTAGGTATCAAGGCCACACCAAAGAATCAAGGTCAGAAAAGATCAACCCGGACGCCTCGAGCCATTTCACTGAGATTCACAACAAATTTCACACTGGATCCGGTCAATCCCATATGGACATTTGTGAAGAAGCACTTTCTACAGAATGTTCCTGGAAGGAGTATTGCACGCGCACGGGAATTAGCAACTTGGGACAAGCTAATTGTAAATGTTTTTTTGGGGGGCGGGGGGGCGGGCAGGGGCTGACTTTTTGACTCTTTGACTCTTTGACTTTGTACTGAGTACTTGAGTACTTGAGTCCTTGATTTCAAGTCATCGGCGCCCATTGCCACTGCCATTGCAAACATCCAGCTCAGATCAGCTCAGGCGCAAACAATCCCAAGTATTCCTCCATGTATGAGCAGTTCGTCGTGGGTGGCAAAAGCGAAACTTTCAAGAAGTGGCTGCCATATACACAGGCCCTCTCTCTGGTGCATCTCCTCAAGTCCTATGATGTTTGGAGACTAGCCTGATGTCTGTCCGTTCAACTCAAACAATCTCCTGACTGTTTCTTAGGTGATTGCTTAAACGGCCGGACAAACAAGCTCTGAGGGCAGGTCAGGTCTGCTGTTGTTTGCGATGGTGATAGGCGAATCGGCGATAGGCGATGGGTGATGGGATGCTAAATAATGTGAATTGTGATCATGATCATGATGATCATGATAGGAAGTCATACCAGTGATACCATAGCCATACTCTCACCTTTTTAAGATATCAGTCTCTCAATCACTATGACGTGGAAGCCGAGGAACGACTTCAAAGAATTTTCCAATTCATCCTGCCACTTTTTGGATAGCCGTCTTGTTCCCCAGCAAGCCATTGCGCTGATGCATGAGCTGACCCTTCTCATCGTGACATCTATGAAGAAATTGTATGAGAAGAAGCATGTTGAACTTGTTCTGCTACAGGCCCTCAAGTTCTGCGCCAGAAGCTCAGAACTATATTTCTAGTTGATTGGATGGCAACTAAGCAACTTACAAGAACTTGGAATTAGCCAGGGCCAGGGGTTATGTTGGTTCAAGAGTCAGAGTCAAGGCACGGGTTCAAGTTCCCCCGATCTTGCTCTTCCTGGTTTCTTTCCAGTCCATGTGTCAGGTGCCTACATTCACAGGCAATGGTGCTACCCGCAAGTTGC